TCCGGGGGCTCCATGCCACGGCCACCCGCCCGGGCCCACCTGCAGCAGGACCACCAGCATCTTCTGGAAGTGCCCGGAGGTGTCGCCAATGATGTCAGCCTCCAGGTCCCGCTCGTAGGCTGTGGGGAGAGCTCAGCTGCAGACCGGCCGGGAGCCCCCGACCTGCCGGGGGTCCCGGACCCCAACGTCACCCAAACCCAGACTCCACGCACTGGCAAGGCGGGGCCCAGCTCCTGGCCCTCGCACCGCCCCACGGGCAGGAAGGGACAGCCCTCCTGGGCCCTGGGCGCCCCGCCCCTCCCAGACTGGCCTTCCTGGGTCCTGAGGGTCCCCCAAAGTGGCCGCTTCTGCCTGGGCTCTGGACCTGCCGCGGTGGCACCTCCCCCCCACACACACACACAGCATCTCTGGAGTCGCCGGGCAGAAGCAGGTCCCCCTGAGCATGCCGGACTCCTGTGTGTCTCCCTCACCCTCCCCGGCGGGAGCACCTCCAGTGCAAGCTGGCTCCCCAGAATGGGGGCTGGACAGCACCCCCGCCCCGGGCTCACCGTCCTTGTAGGCGGCCACCAGCTGGTGCATCTGCTCGTTGGTCCGGGAGGCCAGGATCTCGATGAGGCACTTCTCGTCGGTGCCTGCGCCCTGGGAGGGGCACTGGGTCAGGGGGCCGGCCCCCGCCTCCCCGCCCCGCCCCGGTGGAGACAGCCCCCCACCCCCCGCGGAGACGGCCGCGCCTCACCGCGATGGCGTCCTTGATCTCCTTGGCGTCCCAGTAGGCCAGCGGCCGCATCAGACCCACGATCAGCCGCTCAAACTTGCCGGTCAGCTCGTACTTGAGGTCGGCGATGAGGTCCTGGGTGGGCGTGGCGGGCCAGAATGAGCGCGGGTTCAGCCACCGCCGGCACCCCCGGAAGCCCACAGTGGCCACCGCCGCCCCGGCTCCGCGCCCCAGCACCTTGCCGTAGAGGGACTTGTAGCTCTGGCAGATGTCCTGCCGCTGCCGGTTGCTCCGGGAGGTGATCAGCTCCAGGATGGCCTCCTTGTCGCTGCCTGGGAGGGGACGCTGGTCACAGCCACCGCCTCCAGGAAGCCCACCAGCTGCACCCCGCGTCAGCCTTGCAGAGGCTGCTGGCGGTGTCCGAGGCCTCCCGGCCGGCGGAGGAGTGGGGTCACGGCGGCGCACACGGCCCCTCAGGCACGTGAGGAAACTGAGGGCCGGCGGGGGCCAGGACCCCGCCAAGACTCGCCCCGGGCGGTCCACGGCACCCCAGCGGGGCGGCACCCCAGGACAGTGCCGGCAGAGTGGCCACTGCCCCCAGGCCCTGGCCTGCGCGTTTCCTTGGGAAGCTCTGAGGTGGGAGGGGCCGTCCCGCCCGCCCCCCGCCAGCACCCACCGAAGCCCTTCATGGCGGAGTACAGCGCCTCGGCGTCCTGGCCGGCGTCGAAGTCAGGGAAGTCTCTGACGGAGCCGCGGTACCTGGCGCCCTGCGGGACAGGAGGCCAGCTGCAGCGGCCTGACCGGCTCCAGCCCCAACAGGCCGCGTGCCTGACCCGTGGGGCCCTCACAGCCGCCGGCTCGGAGCCCTGCTCGGGGCGCGGTCTCCGCCCCCCCACGCTGGGCGCCCAAGTGGGGGTGGGCAGAGCTGCCCTCAGACCGGAGGCCAAGGCGAG